GCAATGTATGTGAAGCAATTATTAAGCAAATATAAAAGCCCACATAATTGCAACAATAATTTCCCATATAGAAAGCAGCCAAGGTAAAATGTCTACCAAATCACTGATATCCAAGATCTGAAATACCCAAACTAGTTCATAATTCTCTTAGCAATTTTAGATATAGGGATTAGTGGTTGCCTCCAATTCAGCAAGACTTTTCTGCAAGTTTAACAGAGAAACTCTTAACTCCTATAGTTCTGGCAGTCTCACATTTTAAATATGAGGATAAGAACTGAAGATCTAATGTCAGTTTGAAGTCACTGAGGCAAGAGAATAAGAAAATTTAGAAAGCCTAGACTTTTAGAATAGGACAAGACTTGAGATTTCGGCTTAACTCATCTCAGACATTATGAAGACCTTAATCTTGGCATTGAGAGTTCAAACATGTAATGAGAGCCAACAGTGCAAAATAAGCAGTAGAGATTTAAAAAGTAATAAGACAAATATAAACTTGCCTCTGAGTACAGGAGCAGACACATAAATAATTATAAGCAAACTAAAGAATATAAGAGAATGAACAAGACAGAGAGAGTGAATAACCTACTGGCGTGGGAAGAGGGAGGGCAAGGGACACAAACTTAAGCTGATGGTGCTTAGGTTGTATCTTGAAAAGTCAGTAGCCTTTGTCTGCAAGACAAGAGAAGGAAAAGCATTCTAAGCAGCAGGGAGAATATATGAAAAGACTCCAAATCAGGACACAGTATGGCTCTTTCAGTGAACCGGTTTTATGAGTACAGTTAGCGCTTGAAGTTTATGGTGGGGGAATGGCAAGAGATGAGTCAGATGATGAAAAGCCTTGTAATGATAGTTTGGACTAAATACTGTAGGTAAGGAAGGAGAATGGGTTTTAAGAAAGAAGCACTGAACAGATTTGCATTTTAGAAAAATCATCTTGGCACTAAAGTATAGATTAAAGGGGGTCAACCACTAGAGGCCTCATTCTACAGTCAGAGTTAAATAAGGACATTGGATTATCACATAGATATTCTACTACAGAACCAGGGATCAGAAATAAAAACAACAATGCTTTACCAGGTAAAGCTAAATTCTCAAAAGGAAATCGTTTACACTCATAAATGTATATTCTGGAATTAAGTATTTCCCATAAATCTTAAAGAGGAAGAGGCTTCTAAAATTAGGTGTGATATGTAAAAATTACATGAAACTAGTTGTACCCTGAGAACTTGCTACTCTTATGCATCTATTTCTTTTTGTACATGTAAATACTGCAGATCTGCAACATAAAAACCAATGCAATAGAATCCTTGAAATTGGAATTTATATTGATTATTTACAGAGGCTTCTCCTGTTTCAATTATATATATACAGAAACTGAGGTGCTGTGAGACTGAGGAATTACCTAAGGTCATACGGTTAGTTGCACAGTGAAGATGGAAATTCATGTCTTATGATTTCCTTTCTAGAAACTGCTTTAGTATATCATATTTATGATTCTAGAATGCTGAATGATAATCCAAAAGACACTCTAGTATTGTAATTTTCAATAGTGTAATAATAATATACAGAACTATTTTTATGTTTCATATGCCTCAAAGAAAAACATACCTATTAGATCTGCATATGTTTCACATGAAAAAATCTTCCTGAAGTCTGTGCTACGGTAAGAACACTTCCTCCTCTGCCATTAAAACACACCTATTCTTGTGCAGGGAGACTAAAACTTCCTTTGTCAAACTTAGGACACAATTAAATTTGAAAGAGGCGAGGCCTAAGATTAATTTATCTCTATATAAATAATTTCCAAAATCTTTAACATTTTCTAACATTTTACTTAAGTCTCAGTCTTTTTCTTATTTTGTAGTGCTCCCCACCCAACCCCTTTAATTTTTAGATCCTTGAAATATATATTTTTCCTTCACTAGTACACACAGGTAGAAGTGGCAACACTGACAAAAAGCCTGATAGTGTAAGTTTCACAAATTTGCAGTGATCAAAATATTTTAATTTTTAGGCTTCTCTAATTTACACGTAAGTAATGTCTGTTCATTGAAATAGATTCAAATACAAAAACATAAAATTAATAAGCTGTCTTATGCTTTTGCAATTTTCTCTTGAAAAATCCCCCAAACACTGATAAATTTGTTGTGTGATGTTAAGACTTTTTTATGCTTTCATAACAAAAGGTGCTAATCCTCAGTCAATATATATATTTAACACCCAACTCTACTGATCATAATGTAATCTTTCTTAAATAATTCAGAAGGTAACTCAGAAGGCAGATCATTATCTTGCTTGGTCTCTGGTTATCACAACAGACAACAATTATGTTATCATTCAGGGATTATTTAAAAAGTGAGCTAAACCCCAAGTAAGCTGTTTATTTCTTCCTTATCAGCATCTCAATCATTTTATATATGTATTTATTTGTTGTCTTTCTCTCTGTCCATGTGGGTTACATGAGAGCTGGAGTCATTGTACCTCCAGTGATTGACACCTAGCAGATAATCAAACACTGTTGACTGATCATTACGTTACTTAGAAATGAGAAAAGCTGCTTTTTAAAAAAGTCATTGAAATCTGCTTAACTTATCATTTGTCTTTCAAAACTGAAGGGAAAAAAGTTTGCCTACTTTTTTTGTTTTGTTTTCTGGGTTTTTTTGGTGTGTTTTTTTTGGGGGGGGGGCTGTAGTTCCAAATATCTGCTCAACTCATCAGTTTTGATAGCTGTAAAAGTCAAGCAGGTATTTTGGTTTGAATTGTAACAATGTAAACTCTCTAAAGAGTTAAATATTGCTATGTAGAATAACATTGTTTTTTAAAATGATTCCAAGATTCAAGGATTAAGAACATTTTCCCTAATCTATCTGGTTCTAAAACCAAGAGAAAAAGACTAAAGCAGGCAAAATTCTTTGCTTTGGCATACTTAAATTTGTCTGTTTACCTAAAATGACAGAATTACTATGAGTACAGACTCCATTGCCTGCCTCATCAGGCTTCATTTACAGGCCTCTCTGATAAAGTAGCTATCTAACCAGAATAACTGTCAGGCAAATGCACAGACTTTTTGACCTACAGATTTTTAAAAAAACCATATACACATATATACAGGTTGTTTTATTTGAATTCCACCTAAGTCTGGGCTAGTTACCAAGAATTCTGCATAAGTTTCAAGACTAACTGTACCTTTACAAAACTGTTCAGCAAGATTCTCTAAAAGGGCTCTGTTAGTCACCCTAAAAGGTCTCAAATGATGTTGCAGAGTTCTAGCTTCGGAACTTCAAATTCCAGTATGTTACTTGAAGGCTAAACTTAAAGTTACCCCTCTCCACAAATGCTTTAGAGAAGCCAGAACACACTTCCCGGCACAACTTGACTTCCTAACATTCTAGCAAGACTTTAGTACAGATCGAATAATGCAGTATCAGCAAAGCAGACCTAGGGAAGGGAAGCCAAAACCACCAAAACTACACGTTCTTCCCCATCCTCAGAGGCTTCCACGCTCAACCTGAGGACGTTTGCCTCCTAAAAACCCTACAGACACTACCCCCATCTAAGGGACTGTCACTCTTGTTCCCAGAGCAGCGAGGCCAGCACGCCCCTACAGGGATCCTGGGGCAGAGAAAAGAAAACTGCAGAACAACCTACTATTTCTCCAACTATGCAACGAAACGGATCAACCCTCCAACTACGCGCGGAGTACATCCCCTCGAAGGAAAGACCTGTTCCAGGATGCTGACCAGCCACAGAGACCGCCTCCTGGGCCGGCTCAGGATGCCCCTGAAAAGCCCCCTCCGGTCTGCGAGCGGCCCCGGCGCCTGCTGAGCCGCGCCCTCCATTCAAGATCACCCGGGGACCCACCAACTCGCCTCGTCGCCCCCGAAAAGACTGGAGACCAAGCCAAGTTACCGCCCCCCTCTGGGCAAAGCAAAAACCCCAGTGAAGACACCGGTCTCCGCGGTGCACCCTCCCGCCCCCAGCTGCACGCCGAGGCGGCCCGGCCCCTGCAGGACGCAGACACATCGCCCTCCAGCCCGGAGACCCCGAAACGCAGACCCCGTTCCCCGGGACCCTAATAAACTGCTGCTTCATCCCAGAAATGCGAAACGGATACCCACTCCCGCTCAAAGGTCCCCCCAGACCCCAACGGTCTGCCCCTTCAGAGACCCGGCACCTTGCTAAACTGAATCTTCTGCCCTCAAAGATCCTAAGACCCCGATAGAGGGACCCCCTTGTCCCAGAGCCCCGCCACACCACCTCAAGCAACCTCAGGACCCTGATAAATCTCCCTCGACCCCGAAGACCCTGCACCCTTTACACCACCACCACCACCCATCAAACCAGAAGAGCCCTGGGACCCCCGAATAAACCGCCCCCTCACCCCGAGTAGCCCTGGCCGCACCGCCCCCGGGCGCCCGCACCCGACCCCACCACACCTCCTCGCCGCCTGCACTCCCGAACCCCGC